TGGAAAAGATTACACAATATGAGATGCACATCAGCATGGTGAGGCATATACCACCATCTTTATTACAAAATTAAATAAAAAATTTTATATGTAATATTTATCATATCACTACTTCTAATTAATATTTTAGAGTTTTTAATACTCTAAAAAAATTTGATATATTAACTTTTTGTGTAGACTTATACTCGTAGTTACTATGAAAAAAATAATAATTAAAGAAAGAGTGTACACCACAACTGATCATGCGAAACATGTAATAAGCTGAATGTCGTCACCATAATATATATAAGTTCATAGAATAATTTCATATGACGTACATAAATGCTTAATCTTATTGAATATTTTACTTCATTGATTTTTAATTTCATATGACGTACATAAATGCTTAATCTTATTGAAATATTTAAATTTTAGCAGCATATATATGATGCAAGTTGTTAGGAGAAGGCCTCAGAACTTAGTCAGTGAATGAAATTAATATTATAAAAATATTAAGGTTGTAATATCCCAAATTAAGAAAGTTTAATCTAAAATCTATACTTTGAAAGTAATTTAGAAAATATTAAAATTAAATATTATTTTTTAGTATGAATATACATCGAGCAAAATTAAATTCGTAGATAAGATTTTAAATTAGATAGGGAATAAGTTAAGCTTATATTATATTAAATCATAAATTAGATTTAGAAGAGTAAATACTTGATAAGCTAAAAATAATTTATATAGAGAATGAGAGTATATTTAATTAGAAAGAAGTTATTAAATATTGAAAATTTATAAATTAATAAAAAATAAATTATGATTTTATTCATATTTAAATGACAAGTGAGGAGAATAAATTTTAAATTAAATATGAGAACTATTTAGGTATTTGTAATAAATATTTAGAGAGAGAAGAAAAGGAAAATTTATATGGTATAAAAAATAATAATACTTGATATTTTAATTGTTAGAGATTCATATATTTACGAGAGTAAAAATTAAAAATAAATTTAGATAATGTTTTAAGTATAACAATGAGAATGTATTTATATAAGATTTAAGCTGACGGTGATAGAGAGGTGATTAAAGTAAATTGTTAAGGCATTTAAATTCAAGGTGAATAATATGTCTTTTTTTACATTAATAATTTTTCTTTCTCTTAAATTAAATGAAATTAAGGATATTATTCATATTATTTAATTATTGCTGTAAGTTAAAATATTCTTTTATTTTCTCATATTCAATAATTGTTCATATTGGCATGGACAATAAGTGATATATTGTGATACATATTTTTCATAGAAAGTAAATGAATGACATATTAATGAAATGATTAAGATATATATGCTTGTATGTACATGTTGACAGATGAAATACACCTCTTTATTGTACTGATTGGAAATATAATGTATCCGTGCATGAAAATAAAAAAGTTTATGAAAAATTAGTACATTCATTGGTACTATTTTTAACGGTGTCTCCTGTGATACCTGTATCATACTATCATTTACAAGAAATGATAAATATATGAAGTTTGTTTGTTAAAATATACTAGCATGTTTGGATATATCATCTTGTAGACACTCATTAAGAAGACAAATTATTATGTCCGGTCATTGGACGTGGAGATAAGTCCGGGCACTAATAAAATATTATTTTAAATTAAGTGCATCAAAAGCGTAAGTAAAGCGCAGGTAAAATGCAGGCAAAGCGCAGTCAAAACACAGTTAAAGCGCAGTCAAAAAGCACAGTCAAAGCGCATGTGATGTGATAAGTTTTAATTGGATGTCTGGACATATTTTTAGGTCCGTTGACCGGACCAAATAATTTGCCCATTAAGATGGCATCAGTTGTTCGACAATACCGTTGCCCATGGTTGTTAGAGCACACCCACTTGCTTGTGAGAGGGAAAGGTGGAAGGTTTAGTTCAACCCACAAAAATTTATTTGAGCTAGTTTGTCTCTCGTCAATTTTGGTTTGTTGGGACCTTAAACAATGCTTACATTAGGTTAAAAAAAAAGTCTTTTTTACTGTGAATTTTTATTATTTAAAATTTTGCTATCATAATTTATAGAATTTAACTCCTTTGTCTTATTTTGATATGTTGCATTCGAGTGCTATTTAGTGGGTTCAGAGCATTTCTTATGTTGTGTTGACCTCGATTTTGACAATCCAATTCATCTCGTAGGTCACTGATAAGTTTCAAATCGAGCTGATTTGAGTTAGTTGAAATCAGTTATATCACACAATTTAAATTTAATGGCGCAGATCAGTTTGAGTCGACTCGGTTCGAGTTTGATTTGACTTTGATGTCATCGTCAATTGTTAAATTGAGTCAATCGAGACCAATTTAATTAAAATAATTTTGATTAATAATCAAATAAATTTGTTTGAGTATTGTACATTAATTTTTAACTTGACTCACGCCCAAAATTGTTAATTTGGTTATTAATTAAAGGAAATCAAACAAGCAAAATCGAGTTGATTCGGCTCGAATCAAACCCGATTTATGGCTCATCGGTTCTGGTTGACTCAATTTAACACGACCTTACTCAATTTCAAACAAATTGGCATCATTCAGATTGAATCGGATGCGATTTGTAGATTTGTAGCTCGACGACTCTGATCGGCCCAATTTGACTTGTCTCTATCTAATCTAAATCAAATCTACCTCGATTAGCTCAAAATCGATTGAATAAAATCTGAACTCAATATCTATTCAACTTGGCTTGTTTTAGTTCAATTTTCTATAGCTAATTCAACCCTCCGATCCTCTTAAATTTATCAAATCACTTCAGCCTTTTGATTAAAAACAAGATTAAGAGGCAGGGGTATGATGGTAATTGTTCTTCATTTGGGCACAGCTTCAGTGCGGATCGGGGAGGAAGAAAGCGAGTGGGAGCGAGAGATTTCATTCGGCTTGGATTTCTTGTTCGTGCGAACCAAACCAGAGACGCGAGAGGAGGCGGACGGAAGAGACTGCGAGCGGGAGAGGGAGGGCCAGCGCGATCCAGAGAGGGAGACCGGCAGGTTCTTGTGGTAATCGTCTCCTTCATTTATCTGTTCATCTCCCTGTTCTTCATTCTCTCCTCCCTTCCTATCTTCTTCTTCCTTTTCGCCTTATTCTTCTTGATTTTCTCTTCTAATCCTTTTCCATTCTTCATTTCCACTTTCATCTTTTCCTTTCTCTATTGAATCTTCTTCCTCCTCTTCTCTGGTTGGTAAGTGATGCAATATAGATTACTTCTATTTTTGGAGAAAATGATGTTAGTTTGTGTTTGCTGCATTATTGAGATCAAGAACCATTGTTTGAGGTTTTCTTTTTTTCGCATCAATATGACATCTATGTATGAAAAGAAGGTTGAGTTTATCTTCCTCTCTTTCAGCTTTAAGTCATAATATGATGCTTTTGTTGAGATTATTTCTCTACTTTAAGGCTTTGGGAGTTTTGAGAATTCTTGATTTCTTGTGCTATATTCTTTATAGTAAATGAGAGACGTAATCTTCAAGAATTTTCTTGACACAATTTGTTCTTCTCTGCCGAGTAAAGAATGATGGGTTTTCCTCTATTTTGTTGTCTTGATTGGATTTGGATCTTTTCGGCCAAATTAGTCACAAGTCATGGTTCCGTGTGTTTTATAATTAGAGAATTTTCCAAGCATGGTTGGAAGAGTAGTGGCTTTCAGATTTTTTTAGGATGGCTTGATGGTTTCCTTTACTGCTATTGTTTAGTAGAGAATTGGAACTATATTTTCTTGATTAAGAATACCAAAATCAGTTGCCAATTCGCTCAAATTAAGTTTCTTGAAAAAATGAAGGGATGTGGTTTTGTTTGCTTTATTTATTTTCTTCTTAAGATATCTGTTCATTGTTCTTTTAACAAATCAGATGGTGATTTGACAAGTGTATTTCAACATTTGTGTTGAAAGGTCTCTTGAGTTTTTTTTGGGATAGAATGAACTTCCATCAAAGTTTTTTTTTCCTCTCATTTGCATTTAGCATATATGTTGAATTGGAGCAAATAAATGAGTTGGAAGCCGGGGCGGATTGACCCCAAATCCATCATTGGGATATAAGGATACGAATTAATAGACGATGTCCCCTTGACGAACTAGCATCTTGGAGGAGATAAGCAAACTAGAGAAGTATTTTGGAGTGGGAATTGTAAGATTACTTCTATTAATGGTACAATTTTACATTTTTTATTGAAATTTGCCTTATTAAATAATGGGATCTACATACGTAATACTTAAAACTATACTCTCTCTCTCTCTCTCTCTCTCTATGGGTGTAAACAATTCGAGTAGAGTTGAGTATTTGCCTAATCAAGCTAAGCTTATGTAACTCTTACTAAAGCTCAAGCTCGACTAGCTGCTCGAGCCCGTTTTAAAAGATCAAGCTTGACTTGATTGTTGAGTTCGATTTCTTAGTTTAAAATTAAAGTTTTAGTTTTTTTAAAGAATTTTTTTAATATAGAATTAATTTAAAAATATTTAAATATATTATATAATGCTAATTAATTTTTTAAAAAATATATATTTTAAATTAATCAAGTAGCTCATCAAGCTTACGAGCTGAACCAGCCTAAGCGTACAGACTTGCAAGACAGCTTAGCTCACTTACACCCTTCTCTCTCTCTCTCTCTCTCTCTCTCTATATATATATATATATATATATATATGCTATGACCACCCAAAAAAAACCCTAGTTGTTAAAGTCATTGTAAAGGGTAGTATTTAAGCAGTGTTTCTTTTTTAGACAATTAGTCTAAAGGTATTGAGAGCTAGAAAAGTTCTCTTACAATTTTTATTAGCTCTAGAAGGGGTATGATTGAGTACCGTGATTATTAGTGATGTTGAGGAGAAGAGTATTGCATCAACAATATTTTGAAGTTATTTATAAATGATTGAGTAGTAATGAACATTAAAATTAGTTATGTAGTAACCAAAGGTTTCAAATCACAATATTTTTTTAAAGATGATTGTTAAATTTATATCATTTATATAGGACATGCAACCTACTTGCAACAAATGCATAAAATTACATAGCTTGACACATGTAATTTTTATATGAGAAAATCCTACTATGAGAGAGATTTTTTTTGAATGAGAAAGGCCAAAAATGGTCTATTGAATCTTTATGAAGGGCCAAAATTGTTCCCCAACTTTATTACAAGACCATTTTGGTCCTTCATCTCCTTAAAGTGAGACCAAAATAGTTCCATGGTAGGGCTATTTTAGTTCATCTTTAAGAAGTTTAGGGACCAAAATGATCCTTTAATATATTTGAGAATCATTTTGATCCTTCATAAAGTGTCAAGAGACAATTTTGCAACCTGCGTGTAACAAATGCATAAAATAACATAGCTTGGCACATGCAATTTTTATATGAGAAAACCTTACCATGAGGGAGAGAGAGAGATATTTTATTTAAATGATAAAGGACAAAAATGATCCATTGTCTCTTTATGAAGGATCAAAATGGTTCTCAACTTTATTACAAGATTTAGTCCTTCAACTCTTTAAAGAGGGATCAAAATAGTCCCTCTTTAAGGAGTTGTGGGGCCAAAATGATCTTTTGATATAGTTGGAAACTATTTTGATCCTTTTCTCTTATTTAAACACAAAGTTAGGAGTGGATAAATACTCATGAAGATAGGAGGCCTAAGAGTTGCAGTACAATTATTTAGTACTTGATATGCAGTTTAATGGGTATGAGAGTAAAAAATGAAATCTAATTATAATTGAGCATATGCAAATGTGATACTTTTGATATCTTTGGTCTATCGTACATGATAGTTAGAATATAGATGAAGATGTAACATAAGAGGATACAGAAAGTTGGTGGTTTAATGAATATTTAGTAAATGACAATGGTTTATATGGAGAGAGAGTTGGTTGATAAAGAAGTTGTTAGTAGCCAAGTTGCTTTGTAGTCAATTTTGAGATGGGTATGAAGTAAAACCTGGAAGAATAGAGTGTAAATTGATTATATTAAAGGTTTTTAAAAATAGTTTGGTTTGAGCATATTCAAGAGTACGAGCGCTTTTATAAGAAGGATTGTGAAACGAATGGGTGCATCAAAGAAGCTAGAGCTTTGAAGTTTTGCAAAAAAAAAAAATGTTGCATCAACTAAAGTTATCTCCAATTACAGTACTTGGGGTTCATAAAGCAAGATAATGTTAATGATGATGATGCACTCAGAATAAGGATAATTATGATGATAATATATTTGCTGTAAATTTGTATTGTGCATAGTTTTTATTTTTGCAAAATAACTATAGATAAGCAACTGCTCTTTTACCACAGTTGTGTCCTAGCCTTTGTTTATATAAATATTTCTTTTTGGTGTGCATTTCTGGCTGATTGACTGCTAGATCTATAGATTGTTCAAGTTATGTTTATCTGGATATAAACACTAGATATCTAGATTGTTCAAGTTATGTTTGTTTGGATAAAAATACTAGATGTGGTAGATTATTCAAGCTATGTTTGTCTGGATATAAGCACTAGATGTCTAGATTGTTCAAGTTATGTTGGTCTAGATATTAAAAAAAAAGGTACAAACTCAGAAAAGTATTCTTTGCTACAAGCTCGTGCTTTTACTAATAATATCTCCGGTCAGAGCAACAATTGCTCATAGTTTTTCGCAGAACTCTATCCTTTGCTCTTTTTTTTAATCTTAAATTCCAAGTCTATAGTTCACTCTCCCAACTCATACAGTTGGAGGTTTCGACCATTGAAAGGAGCAAAGAGAGATAGGGAAGGAACAAAGAGATTGATTATGGCAACTCTTAGACAATTAAAGATCAAGACAGGGACAAGCAATCGAGTCCTCAAGGAACTCCGTTCATATGAGAAAGAAGTCAAGGACGAGGCTGCTAAGACTGCAGATATGAAGGAGAAAGGTGCCGATCCTTATGATCTCAAACAGCAGGTCTCTTTCATTGCTGTGGCTTAGAGTAAATTTACTTCTGCTTTCTTTTGTTCGCCATGTACTTTGAAAGTTATTTTCATTCATTGCTTTCGTAATTGTTTCATGTTTTAACTGGGAAACTGTTGATCAGCTACATTTTGAAGTTCCTTTCTTGGCTTTGCTCTTGGTATCATAGTCATGTAATATGGTTTTCAGAAGTAAAGACTAACCACTAAATACTTGTAGTAGCATTATTAAGCATATAATGATGATCATGCCTATTAATGGTATATTTTTATGTACAACTCAAGGTAGCAGACCATTGTGTTTGTACAGTATTATAGTGAATTGGAAAATTTAGTTGTTAGTGCCATTTCATAAACAGAAATAGGTGGGAAAAAGGCTTTGTGTGCGTTGATTCCAAACAGTGCATGGTGCTTTGACCTTTGAACTTTTTTTACAAAAGAAAGTTAAAGTAGAATTTTTTTTTTCCTAACTAGGTTTAAATGGTGAAGTTGAACAAGTATCTAACTTTATGGGTTCTCATCACCACGTTTGCAAATTACAGTTATTTTTTGCGTGGTCAAGGAAACAACATACTTGTTCTAGAAAATCTTAATGGTCTAAGCATCTTATGTATCTTAAATTTCTTGTATGCGATAGGTCTTCTTATTTTCTTGTTGGTCATATGGAAGTTGGCACAAAATATTTCTTTTCTATTAAAATTTTAAACTTTTCATCAAACCAGTGGACAGCAAACTAATTTTTTTGAGCTCAAGATGTTATTATTATTATTATTATTATTATTATTATTATTATATTTATTATAATTTTTATTTGTTATTATTATTATTATTATTATTATTTATAAAGCATTTCTGTTTTCTTTCATTGCTGTGGCTTAGAGTAAATTTACTTCTGCTTTCTTTTGTTCGCCATGTACTTTGAAAGTTATTTTCATTCATTGCTTTCGTAATTGTTTCATGTTTTAACTGGGAAACTGTTGATCAGCTACATTTTGAAGTTCCTTTCTTGGCTTTGCTCTTGGTATCATAGTCATGTAATATGGTTTTCAGAAGTAAAGACTAACCACTAAATACTTGTAGTAGCATTATTAAGCATATAATGATGATCATGCCTATTAATGGTATATTTTTATTTACAACTCATGGTAGCAGACCATTGTGTTTGTACACTATTATAGTGAATTGGAAAATTTAGTTGTTAGTGCCATTTCTTAAACAGAAATAGGTGGGAAAAAGGCTTTGTGTACGTTGATTCCAAACAGTGCATGGTGCTTTTACCTTTGAACTTTTTTGTTTTACCAAAGAAAGTTAAGGTAGAATTTTTTTTTCTTCTTTAGGTTAAAATGGTGAGGTTGAACAAGTATCTAACCTTTATTGGTTCTCATCACCATGTTTTTGCACATTACAGCTATTTTTTGCGCGGTTAAGGAAACAACATGCTTGTTCTAGAAAATCTTAATGGGTCTAAGTATCTTAAGTATCTTAAATGTCTTGTATGCGATAGGACTTCTTATTTTCTTGTTGGTCACATGGAAGTTGGCACAAAATATTTCTTCTCTATTAAAATTTTAAACCTTTCATCAAACCAGGGGACAGCAAACTCATTTCGCATTGGATGTGGACAAGAACACAAGGCAGAAAATTTTTTTGAGCTCAAGATGTAATTATTATTATTATTTATAAAGCGTTTCTGTTTTCCCTTGTGGTTTGGGGAATGGAGTAGCCTAACGTACTGTTTACATTAGTGATTGTTGTTCTGCGAGCTTCCAATTTCTGTTTCTTGCAATCATGAACTTAGAGTGTGTTAAAAAGGAGAAATTATTCTGTGTGGATGCCGAACGCAGTTTACCGTCCGATGATCAACCATAATGTGACGCGTCAGCATTACCGAGCGATACCGAGCCGCATTACCGAGCGGCACCGAGTGCGATACCAAGCCGCGTTATCGAGCGGGGTGACGTGGCACATTTTGGTTAGTCTTTGGACTGCATTTGGCGTCCACACAAAATAATTTGCCGTTAAAATGCCCTTCATGTGTCTCTTGATCGATTACCATAGAAAAAGAATATTTAAACATGATTTCATGCTGCTTTTTTTTTCCTTAGGTGTAGCTAATAATTGAAAGATAAATCTGTGATGCTTCTTGTACAGGAGAACGTTTTGGCAGAATCAAGGATGATGATTCCTGATTGCCTCAAGAGGCTGGAGGCTTCACTAGCTGACTTGAAAGCAACGCTAGTATGCACAATCATGCTATTTTCTCTCTTCTCGTGTTTGAGCTTCTCAAAATTAAATTGCTTCTATGTCTTGATTTCAGGAGGAAGTTAAAGAATGCAACCAAGAAGGTTCTGAGATAGCGGAAGCTGAAAGAACTATTTCAGAGCTCGAACCTTTGTTTAGAACAGCATAAGATAGGAGAAAATTACCGGGAATTTTTGGAGAGAGTGCACAACTGCTACTTATAATTTATGCTTCTTTTCTCACTCTCCTTAAACAAACTGCATCTGTTGATTTACTTGGCTTGCAACTTTCTTGCTTGTTTAGAAACATTCCAGACATTAAAACTATGGTTTTTCTTTGAACTCTTCATTTTTGTATTTGTGCCACAGGCCTCATGTGCATGGCTAGTAACCAGGGGCAGAACCTGCTTTAATTTTCAGAGGGATAAATTTATATAAGTAAAAGTGTATAATTTTTTTTTTATATATAAATATCCTTACAACCAAAATTTATTCCGAGGGCGCTATCTCTTGACCCCTATTTGTTCATATTCTTGATCGCTGTACGCTTCGCAGATATGTTGGGGGTCCCCTTGGCAGGGTTCTACATGCATGTTATTGTAAAACATGGGACAATAGCCTAAAGGTCATAATATTTTAAAATTTTTAGGGGGCAATAACCGAGGACATTCCTTTATATCAAATTTCATTTCAGAGCTAATTAAAAAAAAAAAAATCGAATGCCTCTTTCTCTCTCTCTCTCTCTCTCTCTCTCTCTCTCTCCTGATTTCTGGATTGATGATTCCGCACTTGTATTCTCTTCTGCATCATCTTATCGAGATATTGACCTGCTATGGCCCTTAGATCTTAAGCGCCTGATTTCTAATGGCTACCACTTATTTATTTATTGAATGGATACTACAGATCCCACAATCTCGAAGCCTGTATCTGCTGCTTTTTTAATTTCTGACTTTTCTTTCTTTGATGTTTCTTTTGTTTTTATTTGTAAGAATTTAAGCAATTTTTATCACACAAACATATGCAAAACATTCAGTTTTCTTGATTGAAAGTTTAGGCTATTTGCTCTGCATTCTACATAGCTTTTTTTTTTTGTTTGCTGGTTGTATCAGCTATTTTTAATTTTCAGATTATTTGTTGAAATTTCTAGTCTTTTGATCCTTTACTCCCAAGTTAAAAAAAAAGAAAAAATTCTTCAAATATATTAAGGCTCTTAACATTCCTCAAAATTATAGCTCAAAAAACGGGATCCCTAATATTCTATACCATTCCATTCTCTTAGCCCGGAAAAATGGCAACACTTTCAAAGAAAAATCAATAAATCCAACAATTCTGATATTTCTTTCAAATAATAGAATTGCAACATATAAAAGACTCCCCATCTTGTTCTGACTTCAGAGCTTACACAAAACCAGCATTTGCCCGAGTACCCTGAGAACATAATATATTTCATTAAACCTGCAGAGATGGTTCATGCAAGTACAAAACATTTGCAATTTTCTTTGTCTTGAAAACTCAATATATACTGTTTTTAAGTTTGTTTCATCAAATTCAATTTAGAAACAATGCAAAAATAGATATCTACAGGGTTTTCAGGTTATGTATATAATATTTGCAAGAGATCTTTTCTGCCATTGTTGTGCAAAAATAGATATCCACTGGGTTTCTCTAATTCTTGCACCACTCCGGATGCTCTGGTCAAAGCTATTGTTGTGTCTATAAGAGGAAAATCCAAAAGTTGGAAATATGTTCAGAAGCTTAAAGAGAAATTTTCTATTCTTTCTTGAGGTATTGCTGGATTTTTGGATGTGCTGGTACGCTCAAAATTTTGGGGACAATGATGACCTGAGATCTCCCGGTGGGCTGCAATGTCACTTGCTATCTTATCAGGTCCTATTGGATGGCCTTATGCATGTTCGGGTTTTGCTGTTCGATTATTGAAGACACTCTAGCAACCTGAGACTTTTTCGTTTTGACAGCCATTGATCAATTCTGTGATATTGGGTGATCTCATTCTGCCTGAGTCCCACATCCTCCCACCAAGTTCTCCCCTGTTTTGTTCCTCCACCTTTTGATCCCTGTGCTAAGGGATATTTGGATGTTTATTTTGATTTTCTTTTATTTCTTTACAGGTTTACTTATAACTGATGTTTACTTGTAACTGAGTTTTGTTTTTAATACAAGGGCTTTGCCCCAAAATTTCCCAAAAAAAAAAAAGAGATATTTTCTGCCAAAATAAGGCCATAAAAGTTACCTGCTGATGCCACAAAAACTACACGTTCTCCGCCATGCTAAAATTAGGGCATAGCCTAGAATGCCACCTGCGTCAAATGTACATGAGCACAGGGCTAAGTTATACACAATATAATGACCAAAAAAAAAGACAGAGAGATGCCTCCACCCATATATCTTACACCAACACCCAAAAATTGTCATAAAACTCACTGATTGCAGAAATCAATGAAAAATCAATCGCATCTCTCTGCGTAGAATAATGTAAATGCTTTACATTCTTCGGGGCATACACACTTCAGGGAACCAAATATGATCCGCAATGGATTGATTTATTTTGATTATGAAAGTTTGTATCACGCAGCTATATCATCAACCTCTGAATTGAATACAAAACTTGGAAACGTTGTTGTGATGTCCCTGCATCATTCCAGTAAACATACACTGTTAGCAATCAATTTGATTTGGTGGGTTAAGTATCATTAGATTATCAGTGTTCATTAGATTTCCTTTAAGTATGTTGTATATGCTATAAATAACTTCCTTTAAGTAGCGAAAAGTAGAAAAGTATATGAAAGTTGTGGGCATTCTATGATGCTACTTAGAGTAATCTTGTATTTACGAGTATTTTCTGTTATATAGTGTTTTTCGGATATTTTACTGTTTGATTGATTTGCAACAATGGTGCTCTTATTGAAAATATTTTCTGTATTTAGTTCACTACACACCAGTTGCTGTTCTCATGTGAAACATGGCCATTAGACATCACTTCACATGCTCACTTTTCTTTATCTACCTAACTGCTGCCTCACTTATGCTACATCTGAATAAAACATAGATACAGTGCTTTAGTTCATTCAGCTAGCTACAACTTAACTATCTTTTGATAATCTCTAAAAGGTTTTTTCCTCAATTTTAATCTGATAAAAAAAAATCTTCTTTTCCTTGACTAACATGTACATCTTAACCATGAATAATCTAGCCAGTTGCAAGGGAATGCTTGAAGACTAACCTTGAAATGAAATATAATAGGCCGATGAACAAAACAATCAATTGGAGAATACTTTTCTTTTATTTCAAGGCTTGGATTTACCTCAGATATGGAAGTGTCATTATCTTCATCATTGATGGGTTGCGGGAAACAAAGTTTTGCCATTCTGATTTATCGATCTTTCCATCACGATTAACATCTGCATCCATGAAAGTCTGTTCACAGAAGAGGGGAAAACCACTAAGCAAAGTAAATACTCAAGAAAAAAGTCAAGGAGCAAGAGAATAATCAAGATGGAGAAAAAAAAGACAAAAAATCTCTATAGATTCAGAAATCAGGAGCATTAGTCAAAAACATCCCCAACCTTGTCTAAAATGAGCTCAACTGTTTCATCTGACAACTTCATGTCAGACTCGGAAAGAAGAGCAATTAACATCTGTTTTACCTGTAAAATAGATTTTGTTTGATTATTGTCTCATATTTAGAATCAGAAAAAGCAAGCAGAGGAGTTAATGTTATAAGCATTTCGGGTAATGACTATTTTTCCCGCCCGTATCAAACAAATAGTTAAACATTATTTAAAAAAAAATTGAATGCTACACTAAACAGATTAGACCAGTTGATATCCATCAGCTCTCAAGGTTCGATACAAATTCTGACGCAAAATCTTCCAAGACCCCTAATGAAGATATATTTTAATATTCTTTGAGTGAATTTTGAATAATCAAGTTCTTTGATAGGCCAATTCTTGATGTTTATAAGCTAACGAGCCCACATATGCAAACCGGAAGCGTTAGGTTCAGATTAGCAGGATTTTTATAACGATTAGCATTTTGATTGAGAAATGAGAATTTTAGGGAACCCTCAAGCTGCTCGTGAATTCAAGATGAACTTCTATTGCTGTACATAGATTCACCATGCCAAGCTAATCTAAAATTGACTTACATGTAATTTTCTTTTACCCTTATTATCTGCAAAGATCAATTCCATAGCACAATCATGAATTCCAGCCGGATAACATAGAGGGCGCTGATAGAAAGGTTTCCAATTTACCTCTTTCCTCTCAATGAAGCCATTACCATCCAAATCATAAAGCTTGAAGGAAACTACAAAATCAAAAACCATTTTGATTAGTATGCAAGATGCATACAAAGAACAGAGAAATGGTAACAAATACTAGAAACTTACAATCAACTTTGTCATCATGCGGTGCATTTGGGTGAAATACATTAAGCGATAGAACAAAGTCAACAAAATCAATAACGCCCTTTTGCTTCACATCAAACAGCTCAAATATCTGCAAGATGGTGGCATAATATATTTTCAAAAATTCAGAGGGGGCACAATTCTAGTCAAATGGATGCTTTTATAAATGTAAGTTGAGATCATGGTATTACTGAATTATTCAATTTTTGCATGCAAAGAGAATAATGGTTCAAATTGGTCCATAATAGAAGCAAAATAGACTTTCTTAACTAATTAGATGTAGTGTTGTCTTCCGTGGAATCACAAGTTTAAGCATTTTTTCCACCTAAGCCACACTAATTTTCTGTCTTGCTGTTTCAAATAATTTACATGACTTCTTTCTTTGTAATATTTGTTCATACTATATTAACCTGATATGCATGGGATTAAATATGATCTTTTTTCTCAATCAATAAATCTATTGAGCCTTTAATTTAACATGTAACAAAATAAATTAAGATGAAACCAAGGATGCAAGTGAAAGCAACGAGAGGGTATATGAGAATAAGCAATGAAAAATGTGATTCATTACTTCACATAATAGTCCTAATATTATAGTGTACATAATTTATTACATGAATATTATATATAATTCTTTTATTTATAAGATTAGAAATTATAGAATAATCATAATCCTAGGAATGTAAACAAGTCGAGCTGAACTGGAGTCACCCATAGCCTGAGCTAGTTTAGTTAATCTAGTTCGAGCTTAATTCTACAAGTTTGAGCTAACTCATTATTAGTTAAGAAAAAAATAATTATAGAAGCATTTACTGTAACAAAATAATAAAGAAAAATGAGAAGTCACTTGTTATATGAAGGTGAAATAATTTTTAAATATTTTTAATAACTTAATCTTTAATATCTTAAATTATAATATATTCTAAATGAATTTATGTTAATGTTTTATTAAACAAGTTAGCTTATAAGCTAATTAATTGAGTTGGGGTAGACTCAAACTTAACTCATTAGCATATCAAGTTCTGCTCATGAGCTATTTTTCGAGTTGAGCTTGAGCTGACTGAACTCAATTACATCCCATCTCAATTCTTCCCTTTTTATATTTAAATATTATTTAATATGAATAAAATATTAATATATTATATTTTAAATGTAAAATCCTAAATAATTATATTTTAAAATAAAATAATCAAAATTAAAATTAAAATTGAACACAAAAAATAAACAACATTGGATGCAGAAAATTTTGATACTACTGAAATAGAAGCTAAGACTTTCACAATGACGGTGAAATCAAAAAAAAAAATGAAGGTGAAATCAAAACCAACTTTTAAAACCATGTTTGAGATTGAAATACCAAAAACCTATTAAAGCAAAACAAATCATATAATTATAGGAAGTAGAAATAAAAATTCAGGCCTTGAAAGTTTAGATCTGAGATAGGTAAGGCCACAAAATGTGACATGGTTGGAGGATGCTTTATAGAGTCAGACATATAAACCAAAAAAAGCAAATTATATAGATGAAATTTCGTTTAAATGCACGGATTCGGAAGAACTTTATTGAAAGAAATTTTCAAATCACAATGTCAAATAGAAAAATCAAGTCATCAAGAGTCCACAAATAATGGATAGTTGACCAAACGTCAAATGATCAAGATTGGGAGGCTTAAAATTTTGGACGACGACAACAATAAGAAGTTTTTATCCCATTGTATCAACAAAATTTTGGACGACAACAACAACAACACAGGGTAGGTTACATGAATTTTTTTTCTCCATTGTATCCTATTAAGAGTCAAATTCTCATTTAAATCTAATAAAAAAGTTCATTTCTAATATTTTCTAACCATGCCTTTTTAGGTCTACCTCTATCTTTCTTAACATAAGCCAAATCTAATACATCTACTCTTCTAACCGAATCATCGGAAGGGCAACATTTTATGTAACCAAACCATCTAAGGTGCCTCTCTCTAATCTTATCTGTCATTGGAGCAACTCCAACTTTTTCACATATATGCTTGCTTCGCATCTGTCTATAAGAGTGAAGCCACTCATCCATCTGAGCATCCTCATCTCTGCAATACTTAACTTAATTTTATGCTACTCTTTTAATGGCCAAGATTTAGCGCTATAAAAAATTGCAGGTCTCTGATGCATTGGCGGCCCTTGGGAGGGTTGAACCTGAACAAATTTCGGCTCCTGTTGTGGGACCTAGTAAAATATTAATTCATTATGTGAAGAGAATATAAGGAAGGGATCAATTAGGAAAGATTTCTAATTAGAATTCAAATTGGAGAGGGAAATATATTAAAAAAGGGGGCTGATTTGGGGAGATTAATTAGGAAATGTTTCCTAATTAAACATGAGAGATTTGGGGGCTAATTTAGAGGGGGTTAATTATGAGATGTTTCCTAATTAAAAAGGACAAATTTGGGGGCTGATTTGAGTGTTGTTTTGGTATTTGTTGTTTATTGTTTGCTATAAGTAGTAGGGTTTATGTTATGTTTTGTATGGAGAATTTTGTGAGTGTTTGCTATCTACTACTTTTGTGAGGGATCATAACGGCGTCTAGGGTTTGGGAGAGACGACCCTCCTCCGGAAAGATGACCATTGTATCTTGTTTTTGCATATTTCCTTGTTTAACAATAAAAACTTATTGTTTGTTGAATTTGTATTGATTCGTTGGCGGTTCTTTGATACCAAGACATATCAAATTGGTATCAGAGCACTTTCCTGGACTAAAATATCAGTCTACTCCACTAAATCAGCCCACTTCCAAAGAGCCCACATCCCTCTACATGATGACTACTTACACTTCCAACAACCTGCAACTCACACAACAACTGCCATTTCTCCTCCCCATCTGCACCCAAACAACCAAACTAAACCAGCCCCCTTTGTCGTGAAACCAAGCCCAACAACTCTGCTCCAACTACAAGATTCCTCTTTAACCCAACACTTCTCCCTCTCATACCTGAAGTACAACACCCAAATCAGCCTTCCCCACTCAACATCCGTACCTGTGCAACACTCTTCATTGCAGCCAACTCCAATACACAGAAACCACCACCAGCCAACCTAAACCAGCCCCTCATCTTTCCACCTGCAACAACCAAGCTTACTCCACTGTGTAAATCACACCTACAGCTCCATTCAAAGTCCAATTACCTGCAACAACTACAGCCCATTCCACCTCAACCTTCACCCACTATAGCACCCAAAACCACCTCCAATCTACCACCAAACAACATTCTCACCCAACCAAAGTCAACCCTTTCTTCTTTTTTTTTTTAATTATTGTGTAATTAGTTACAAAAAAACACAAAATAAAAAAACATAAAAAAGTAGAAAAGAGATATTTATGTGTTTTAGCCCCTCGTTGCTCTCATGCCCTCGACACCATCATGGTCGCCTTCCTCGCAAAATTTATAAATTCCCTAAACTAAAAAAGCCCCCAAATCCCATTTTCGGCGCTTGCGGCGCAACGAGCAAACCACCTATGCGAGTTTTTCTTAGCGCGGTGGAACAGAGCTTGGTGTGACGCTTATGGTGAGGCGGGTGAGCCTTGCGCATGTTATTCTTAGCATTGCAGAGTAAAATTTAAGCGCCCGCATACGTGATTCTATGCCTGCAGGAAAAAAACTACGCATTTTCATACAGTTACACCTAAAGACCCATGCACGCCTTTCTTGGCGTGGTGGGATTGAAGATCACGACCACGGTGTTGCCTGACACTAGCCATGCCATATTTCTTGACGTGGTAGGCAGGCCTAAACTCCAAAAAATTCTCCTAAATAGGGGAGACGTCGGGAAGCTACCAAAATTTGGACTGACAGGGAACATAACTAAAATAACAAGGAACTAAATTTGAATAAAGCAGGGGACTGAACTTGAATAAAACTATAGGGAACTAGACCTAAATTAATTAAATACCATTTGCAAAATCAAATAAGTCTAAGTGATGTTTGTAATGAACATATAATATAAATGACGGTTCACCTACAGCCTACTTATGAATAAAATATAATAATAGATTATTTGTAATAAGTGTGACAATCCACTTATTGAAGGAGGCATGATACATACGATGAATATATCAACCCATCCATGTGCTTGTCTTATATACAAAAGGGTTATCCACTAATTAAAAGCAAGGAGACTTGTGATTAATGATGTAGCTTGCTTATAAGCATGAATGAGAACTCTAAATGTGTATAACAACTTGTTTACATAAAATATTAGAAAACTTGCATTCAATGCAGCTCTCCTGTAGACAACGATAGATGAACAGCTGATGGGGGTTGTTGTGGAGTGCACTATTGAATTGTTAAAATATTTAAGGTTTTATCTCCCCTAAACAATGCTTAAATTTTCTTTGATATATAAATAATAATAAACCTCACTTAATATACGCAAATATATGTCTCGAATCAAGTAATAAAGTGATAGAGTAGAGTGTCGAACACACAATGAAGTATGCTTTTTAGCAATCAACTGCTACATTTTACTCTAATTGCAAAATTATCCTACTAAAATAAAAATGTTAGTTGTGAAGACTCAATCAATGAGTAAAATAAGTAAAAATAAATGATACAATATTTAAATAAAGTGTTTTGGATTGATGAATGTAAATTGCATATCTTTCGTAATGAAATTTTTATGTGTAATGTGATTCAAAGCATATGCATCCCTAGATCTCTACCAAACTTGTAGGGATGAAAAGGATATCTGCTTAAATAAAGTGTTTTGGATTGATGAATATATATGACATATTTTTTTTAATGAAATAGTTGTTTGTAATGTGATTCGGAACATGTACATCCCTAAATCTCTATCGAGCTTGTAAGGGTGAAAAGAATATTTGCTGACCTCCCTATCATTTCCTTAAGAACCTAGCATATTTTACATCATATGTCTAAATATACAAATATATTATTTCAATATTCCTAATTGTTTTTTCATTCCGCCGTACATGCTCTACATCACGAACTTTTATTTGGTCCGGTCACAGGACGTAGCTCTACGTTCGGCCGCCAATAGAATAGCGCCACGCGTTCTCACTATTTACCGCGCGGCCCGACAACCCGACCCGGAACGGACGCATGATTGCTCGGTATTTCTCGATTTTGCTAGGTATTGAACTATCAAGGAGAGTGATATTACCACCTAGGATCAATGTATCCCCACTACACTCCTTCCTTATTGTACAAAGTTGCTCAAATAAATACTAAGTAAACATTCTAATGATTGTAACTAGCACTTATCTATTCTCCCTTAAAATTGACTCAAAGAGAGATCTAAAAAAGTACTCTGAAAAATACTAAAATTAGACAAGTGACTGAATTCCCTTACAAATATAGCATCACTACTATTTATAGGAAAAGACAAAAATACCAGGTGGCGCTAGGGCACTTGAAAGAGTTACGCCACAGAGCCCATAAAATGAATTAACATTTCGGTGGTGAAACTTCTGCACTGCCCCAACGCTTGATAATGTGGACTAGTTACTTAGTGAACAATCGCGTTGCTTCGCTGGCAGATCATGTCCTTTGGAAGTTAAAACTGCTACATCGCGACACTTTTGATTTTCGAATGCTGCGACGCCAGAGTGGAAAATTTGGCGCCAAGGCGTGATACTTGAAGACAGTGAACATGGCGCTGCTAAGATGATCATTTTGACACCGCAACACTTGAAGACAGTGAACAGGGCGCTACCATGTCGAAGTGTGGCGCTACGGCAGTGTCCTTGATGGCGCTGCAGTGTTGATTCGTCCGACGATACGACGCTGGATGATACTTAGAATTTTGTGTCATTTTTATATTTTTCTGCGCAACACAACTAAAATAAATTATTTCACTGAAAAATATAACACATAAAATAATATATTATTTACACTTATCAACAGCCACCTACAAGTAATGGCAGTGGGAATGCAATAATTGCAAAGACACCCTCACGGTCAACGTCAATCAAGCATCTAGCAAATGCACGAGCCCCCTATAAGCAAAATAGTTTGATATGCATCGTACGATGAATGCAAACATACACAATGCAACATACGATGAATGCAAACATCCACTGACGGTTCACTTATGGGCAAGAATCAAGAACCCATCATGCACATAATACCCCACCTAGAAGTAAAGGAAGGAGGTTTATAATGCAAATATCATAGCTTGTCAAAGGGAAATGACAATAAGCTTCGATGAAAGTATTAATGTAACCATACAACAACAAACAGGAACCACCTGACGGGCCACAAAGGACTTTGAACATATGTTCGATAGTTTCCTATGAACACAAAGTCAATGTGTAGTGAACATGATAACTAGCCAACCAACATACATGAAGAGCTCAGCGATGAATGCAGCTCATTCGACAGTC